GTTTACACACACACACCCCAACTAACTTGTGTAATTGTTTTAAACAACTTTGGAGGTGTGGATATACTGTACTTAGTTTTGTAAAAAAAACCTTTGCACAAATATATCTGACTTTTTAAATGACTCCCCCCACCATGTAAATCTAATCCAAATGAGGAATACAAAAGCAACAGAGATTGTAAAATATTTTTTAGTACCTTAAGCTTCACTCAGGTTTTTCAGTTTCAGCCTAAGGGCTAGTCCACACTGGCAACATTAAAGTGCTGCAGGAGCAGCGCTTTAACGTGGCTTGTGTAATCACGGCACAGCGAGCACTCTTAAAAACCCACCTCCACTAGGGGTGTAGCTACCAGCATTGGAAGCGTGGCTCCCAGTGCTGGCGCACTGTCTTCACTGGCGCTTTACAGTGCTGAAACTTGCTGCGCTCAGGGGGGTGTTTTTTCACATCCCTTAGTGAGAAAGTTGCAGCGCTGTAAAGTGCCAGTGTAAACAAGCCCTAAGTCACGATGTTCTGCAGTGTGCAAAAGCCTTTGATGTTAACACAGCCACATCTGAAGTCTCTTTGGAAAGACAATCTGGTGCTTTAAATAAATTACAGTCAAATTTAAGTCCAAACTTAGCTGTAAGTAGAACAGAAACTTTCCTCCCCTCCCTTTGGTTTGTCATTTTAAAACAGCTTCAGACCAAGGCCACATTAACTTCAAAGATTTCACATACACAGCAGACATCCCACCTTGGGCAGAAGCAGCTGAGGTGATGGTTGCACTGAAGACACAAAAAAGAGATTATAGCTAGTTCTTCTATGTGTACACAATAGGCTCCTCCCCTTGCATAGCCCATGTGCAGGCCAGCTAACAACTGAAGTACTTTCACTCAGGGGACTGCAGGGATACTTTCATCTCTGTGTCCCTAGCGAGTAGGAGATGGCTACACCCCCACAATCCCATCCCCAACATACACACACTGGCCCAGAGTACAGGGTTGGTGAACTGAGGGGAGCAGACTGCACCATCCTACAGCCTACACATACCCTGTGCACACAAGGGAACTCTCTCTGGCTCCCTTTGGGGCAATGCGGCTCCCCCTGCTCTCTATACAGGGCTGTGCTTAAAGAAACGGTATGATTTGAAATGATCTTCTATTCAGACATTTTTGAGTTGGCCAGGCAATTTCTGACAAATCTGTCTGTCTGCTGGGTCAGCTGCCATTTTGGGAAGCACACACGATGCAGCATTTTACAGAGACCACACACACACACACTGTGCTCTCTGAAGAGTGATCTTATCTTTTGTTTTCTTCTTTGTTGTTACCCTTAATCTAAAATAAAACTCGATCAGACTGAAAGTGTATGGTTGCACTTTTTTGTGTGGAGAGTCAAAAATGATCATTAAACCCTTGGAAATTATATTAATTTTCATTAATTTGTAGCTTTAAAATATGTTTCAATAAGGATAGCTGTGAGGTAATTGCTAAAAGTATGCTAGGATTAACTACAGGATGGGCCTAACCAATTTATTAAAACATTTATTTTAATGCAATTTTGATTTGGGACCATGTAGTTGTCTGTCTTAAACAATTCATGCTCATTATTCATTGAACAGTGAATGAGAAAACTAGTATTTTGAGAAATAACTGAAAGATTGTTCATCCTGTCTCAGGGCCATCATCTGCCTAGCCCTGTTGTGATAAATGAGCCTATACATTTACCCTAATTGTGAGATCAACTGTGAAAAGTGAGTGAAAATTCATAAAAGGTCACAATAACCTATAACACCAAAATGTTGATGGGAAAAGGTCCAAACAGGAGACAGAAAGAAAGAATGAATTCAAACAAAAAGGCCAACTGGTATAACTCATGGAAACAAAGAGACATGGGACCGATAAATCAATGGACCAAAATTGGTGTGTCAGAAATTAGGCTTAATTGGTGAACAAAATGAGAGGGTGAACTGCTCTGCCCATCATTCCCTCTTGGCAGCCTTAAAAGAAAAGACAATTTTGTGGGGAAAGGAAGAAGAATTTGTCCATTAACAGCTACTGACTGGGAAATGGGCGAACCAGCAGGAGCGAGCTTTACCATCATGGCTGCCACCACCACTGTCTCCTGGGACCCAGTCACCACTGGGCTGTCTTCTTCCTAATCCTGAGACATGTCCTGACCAGACTAGGCCAGAGAGAGGGACCCAGATGACATTACCACCTCCACTAGCTGCAGCTAAATCCTGACAACCACCTGGGAGGTGAGACTTTTTCACTCCCTTTCTCCTCAGTGTGTCCTTTTCTTTCCCCACCTTATTTCTTCTCATGCCTATCCTTCTCCTTTTTCCTTCCATCTAATAAGAGTCTGGCTTAGCCAGCCAAGATTGCATATTTCATAACACTATTGTAAGCCTGTGACCAGAGAGGCAGATAAAAACAATGCCCCAAACAGCCCAATCCTGGCCCAAGTTGCCAGGTTTTGGAGTGGCTAGTAAGACTGTGTTCCATGCACGTGTTTCTTGAGCAGTGAGATTGCAAGAGAGAGTCAACACCAGAGACAGAAACTGTGTTTTCTATGTTTGCTGTTCTTTTCTCTCCCATCTTGTGTGTGTGTGTCTTGCTTTGTCTTTTAAGAAATGGGATTGGACTTTAACAGCAGCCGCAGCAACAATGGCTCCAGTCCCTCTCAACTAACCTTTTCTCTTTCCCCGACCTCCCCCTCAAGGACAGTTATCATCCTCTTTAATATCATGTAAAAGACTGTCAAAAAGTTCTCTCCAGCTAAAGGGAATGTGAGCAAGGGATGTTCTTAAAGTGAAAGCCTTGCTTAGCACTTTACATTTCAAATGCTTTAACTCTTTTCTCCTGTGTCTTTAATATACGGTTAAAATGTTTTTTCCTCCTGACACTAAGCAGGCTGAGGTCTCTGCATTACTAAACCCCAAACCTCATACAGTTTTACATTTCTACATTTCAAAATAGAAACTTCATGCAATTTGGGAGGAAATATTTGACCATCAATAATATGATATTCAATGGAAAGTATAATGAGCATGGTCCTGTTGTTGCTGCTCCACATGAGCTGAAGCCCTTATTTAGTGTATTATTTATTTCCTTGGCATCACAGTTTGGCAGTAGCCCAATGGCTAATTAGGAATCTCAATTTTCATTCCTGTGAGCAGCATCACAGTGAGGATTCAGGAAGAAACAATATCAATAATTTCTTTGCAAAGAGCAAAAAATGTTTGTTCAGTAATCAAATGCCTGAAGAAAATTGGAAGCAAACTCCATGGCTTACTTGACTCATAAAACTGAAGGCATAGCTAGCCACCAGCAAAAAAGTTGCACTTCCTTTCGCTGCTACCTATTAGAAATGGGTGCAGGGGTGTTCAGATCCAGGGATTTGGTTTAGGCCTATCTCTACTAGCCAGAGGACTGCACATGCAGAAAAGGTTGGAGTGATGGTGGGTTAGGAAGAAAAGTGTAACTGAAACACACATTGGCCAAACCGGACAGTCCCTACGTAAAAGAATAAATGGACACAAATTGGACATCAGGAATGGTAACATTCAAAAGCCAGTAGGTGAAGACTTCAATCTCCCTGGACATTCTATAACAGATTTAAAAGTAACCATTCTTGAACCAAAAAAAAGTTCAGAAACAGACTTCAAAGAGAAACAGCAGAACTACAATTCATTTGCAAACTTAACACCATTAATTTGGGCGTGAATAGGGACTGGGAGTGGCTGGCTCATTACAAAAGCAGCTTTGCCTCTCCTGGAATTGACACCTCCTCATCTATTATTGGGAGTGGACTACATCCACCCTGATCGAACTGGCCCTGTCAACACTGGTTCTCCACTTGTGAGGTACTCCCTTCTCTTCATGTGTCATTATTTAATGCCTGCATCTGTAACTTTCACTCCATGCATCTGAAGAAGTGAGGTTTTTTACACATGAAAGCTTATGCCCAAATAAATCTGTTAGTCTTTAAGGTGCCACCGGACTCCTTGTTGTTTTTGTGGATACAGACTAACACGGCTACCCCCTGATACTAGGCAGGGCTGGAGCAGCAGCAGCAGATCTGGAGACCCAGCTGGAGGAAGAGCCCTGGACAGAACTGACAGGCTCTGGAAACTTCTGCTTCTGTAAAGAAATCTAAATAGGATTTGAACCAAAGCATCTGACATCTGGCTACTGAAGCCGACTTCTAAGCACTGCAGCGTTATGGTGTTTTGTGTTTATTACCTGGATTCTTGCCACCCTTACACTCACACGGAGGCCCTATGGGGTTCAATGAGGTTACTTGTGTGAGTGAGCACTATTCAACATGAGTGATGCTGTCAGCATAGGGTTGTGCATAAACAAACGCAAACAACATAGTAATAAATAATAATGAGGCATAACGCTGCAGTAAACACTCAGATGAGGATCTGAACATGGGCACTGAGTCTGAGTTCAGGGAGCTTCTTGAACCATTATCAGGTTGGCAGGCTTAATAAAACTAATTAGAGCTCAGCAGGTTTTTATTCATATACAGTAATTCTAGCTTTTTTATTTCCCCCTCTCCTCTTTTTAAAAAAATGCTATGTATTAAGGATGGATGAATCATCGAAGAGTTAATCTAGCACCAACTGTGTGCCAGTATGGTACTGCACCAGAGCTGATGTATAAATCTGCTATACCTATTTACAGCTTGAGAGGATCTAGACTCTTTTACTTTTCATTACAGTTTTGGTCTTGCTGGCTCTATCTTTTATTTTCCCATACAGTCTCTCTGCATTTGTTTTTCATTCTGCTGTATTTTCCACCTATTTTTACACTAGATATTCTCTTTGCTCCTTCTTTATTCCTGTATTCAGTCTCACCTAACCACAGTGCAGAACCAATAAATACTAAAGTCTGAGTCAGCATTTCAAATTTATGAGGTTCAAACGGTTTTGAAATTATGCAAATTGAGGCTACCTATCCCTAATCAATGCAGTCACAACGTAAAATACCTTTTGACCCTTATTTCTTACCAGAACTGTGGAATTCCTGACAATCCTGTTTGCTTTCCTTACGGCCTTATTCAGCCCCATCTAAAACAGCAAGAGAAAAACAAAATATATCAATTTTGCATTACGTATATATTTTTCCCCAAATATTTTCTCTCTTTCTGTCATTAGTCATAGCACAAAAATGAAGGATGGATCTACAAATAAATCATTCACTACTTTTTATTGGACTAATAATCAATTATCTAATCACCATGTATGAAACTCCAGGGCATCATTTATTTTCTTAGATGAAGTCCAGCTCAGTTTAAAATTTGGGATTCATATCTTAGCTACGCTGTCTTAGTGACAGTGGACAAAATTCAACAACTCATACAGAAGTGCAATCTATTTGTTGGATGCAAGATGGCCAGAACTAGGATGTAAGGATGCAAGAACCACCCAGTCTCCAGAAAACAAATCAGTTCAGATTTGCCATCTGTCATAGCTCTGTAGTGTTCCCTGTTGGTTGAATGTGGCTCTGCCAGTACTCTTTGCCTCAGTTTCCCTCCCAGAGGTCGATCTCCTCAGCTCTCCACACACCAATTTGTGCTGGAGATGTGGCTTAGCCCTAGGGTGACCAGAGGGCAAGTGTGAAAAATTGGGATGGGGGTGGGGGGTAATAGGTGCCTATATAAGAAAAAGCCCCAAAATTGGGACTGTCCCTATAAAATTGGGACATCTGGTCACTCTACTTAGCCCTCTGGCCAAGTCACAACAAACACAACCCCCTCTGGCATACCAAAGTTGAAACTAAAAAGTCTCCACCAAACAAAAAGGTCCCTCTGCCCTTTGGGGATCCTCTTTAACGCACCCGCAGGGCCCTGTTCCCAGCCTGTTTCTAGGCTCGGTGCCTCGTGTCCTTCCTGGCTCTGGTATAGAGCTCTGGGTCCCCAGGCTGGCTCCCCTGGAATATCCTTTTCCTTACAGACCCTGGCTCAGGGCTTTCCACAGGAGCCTGTGGTTCCAACTCATGGGATCTCTCTTCCACCAAGTCTCCCTCCCTTTCCCTCTGCCTCCCCCTTCCAGAGGCATCTGGCTGTCACTCCCAGAGAACTTCCCACTTCTTTTCCACTTATTCTCAGGGAGCAGATGGGGAGAGTCTCAGGTCTCAGATCTGCTCTCTCTCTCTCGCTCTCTCTCTGTCTCGCCCTTAGGCCTGATTCACCCAGACTCTCCTTCTTTGGTCTCTTCCCCTGCCCTTCCTACTTTGGACCCAGGTGCCCTCTTTAAATCCCTCTTAATTGGCCAAATTGGAGTGTGCTGATAAAGCACAGGTACACTGGCCCTGCTCCCTCTCAAAGGCCCAGTGTCACCCTGTGACGCAATCCACGTGCACATGTTCTAATGAGGCATTCTGTGGGTGTCCAAAAGGCAGTAAATTTACTTACACAGGGAGGAATAGCAGAACAGAGGGACAGATTGGCCAAAAAGAGGGCATGTCGAGGAGAAAAGCCTCTCCTGCATTTGTACAAGTGGGTCAAATGCAACTACACTAATATCCCTGACACTTGGCAGCAGCACACAAAGACCCACATAGCCACCCCCAATTGCAGTGGAAGTGTCACTCTTTGGAACAAGAAATATTACTGGGCCATCTATCCAACCAATCCCATTCACAAGGGAATTCACATTCATCAGGCACCATGAACTTGAATGACAGCAGTAATACAGAGGCCTGCTCATATGGCAGTAGGAGGTAATCTATGCCATGTTCTGTGAAGGTTAAATCCACATCAACACTGGCTCTCACAGCCAGGATCTGCCAAATATTCAGCAATACTATTAGGACACAGCGGGCAGTCTGGATACAAAAGGAAACAGCAAGGGGTCTAGTTTTTATCAATGTCTAGGTTCTTATCAGCAGCTCCACTAATCTGTAACACCTGCTGTGTGTAGTGTGTCACAGAGATCTGTGACTAGGCATCTGCAACATACATTGTGAAGCAAACCTGGCTTGTCAAACCTGCACTCTGACACTACACTTGGGACTACACCTAATATTAGGGCTTGATACTGAGAGTCACTGGGAGCTCATTGCATCTTTGGATCAGGCCCTTGTTTTGCTTGTTCAGCCTTGCAAAATCCAAAATCTGGTGTGCACCATTGACCACAACTAATTTATACCTGCAGTTTCATTTTACACCTATTTTGTGCCTCCCTTATAGAATCTGTCCAGATGCATTTTCTTATTTTGGTTACATTGCGCCAAAATCTTCAGTCCAGACAGACTGGCCTGAGAAAAGTGCAGAAGGAAGTGGGTAGTGGAGCAGCTGAGAAGCCACCCTCACAGCACAAAAAAATACTCTGGCCTCAGACAGTAGATCTTTCAGCCCTGCCCCCAACCCTTGCATGAATGCTGAAGCACAGAGAGACACTATGGAGTAGACCTCTGCACCATACTGTGGTGTGAAGCCTCCCCTCCCGCCCCCAACCTTTGGGAATTCTTTCCCAGTCCTTGTACAGAAGAACCACACTGGGGGTAGTTACACTCGGATATCCCTACTGATTGTGTTGACTGGGGTGTAATTGAGAATAGAATCTAAGCCACTGTAGCTAAGCTATTGGGGAACTGTTCTCCCCTCTATTGTAAACAATATTAATCCGATTTATGCAGGATACTGAGGAGAGGGTATCTCCGTTAGTGAATGACAGTGTACTCTGGAACATATTTATACTCTCTTTCCTTTATGTATGAAAATGTTGATTTTTTACCTATTAAAATGTCAATACATTAAAAAGTTTCAGTAGGGGGGAAAGGGTAGCTATATTGATGTGAGAAAGATCTTCCAAGTTTACATTTCACCGAAGTCAGAGACCCCTGTAATTGGGGTTCAGTTTTGTAAGGTGCCTTTGGAGATTGACTCTGCAGATTGCTTGCAGGACAGGCCCAGAACTTAAGACAAATTTGTGAACTTTCATAAGAGCAACATCTTAATACCCACCCTTTATACAACTTACTTTTTAAATAATACTCTTCCACAACAATTACAATGAATCCCATGTGTTGTTCTGCTTTTATTAGGCCATCTTTGATAACCAGTCATATCAGTCAGGGGCACATTCTCCTGATCCGCTCAGCCTTTGTCATTCGCGTTTGGAATGAAAGAGCTGAGCATATGCCCCACTAACCTTGCTGTGGAAGGAATCCCTGCCTTCTTTCTGTGAATTATAAGAATCAGTGAACTAAGAAATCAATTAATGTTGAACAGTTTTCAAACTGAAAGGAAAATTATACTATCAGATCACAACTGTGTGAGTGCTTTGCTGCTGATCAAAATGGTTAGTCAGGACAAACTGCTCCTTTTGACTATGCCCTATCAATCCCTCTTACAATCACCATAAGAACATAATTGCTAGCTTTAAATCCACTGGGCTTGAAGGCTCAGTAGAAAAGTTCAATGCAAGTTTATATTTATCTGGACGGAGTTATAGAAATCCAGTGTGGGGAAAAGCATCCTTGGCCAAGCAGCAGATTTAAAACACTAGAAAAAACAAGTGATGTTGCCATACTGAGTGGCTGGGATGCTAGACTGGATTTTTAAGCAGCATATATTTGCATTTCAAGAAACGACCATCAACATTTTTGCTGGAGATAAAATTCAGCTTATCATTATACTTGATGTAGATACTGATCAAAGCAAAATTAATTAACTCAGAAATTTAAGGGTCAAAAATTAAAGGCAAACAATATGAGGAATAATTAAGTATAAGAATAACTATCAGAAGACTCTCTCTCAAAGCAAAGGTTGTTCTTTGTGTAGATTTTTCTAGGCAACATTATTCTGCCTACAGCATGAGCACTATGGTGCTTTTATTCTAAGACAATCTTTAAAAAATATTGGTTGTAGCGTATAACAAGTACACAAGAGGTGCCAATAAGGAGCCATGATAATGTTGCCCAGTTTCTTCCCATTGGCCAAATTCTGTCCTCAAATACATACATGCATCTCCCATTTGCAATAGTTATTCTGAATAAATATTGCCACTAGAATGCACCCAATTTCTTTCAGCAGATTTCGGCCTGTTAATCCCCTGACCCTCGTGTCATAACTATAAAGGGAAGGGTAACAGCTCTCCTGTGTATAGTACTATAAAATCCCTCCTGGCCAGAGACTCCAAAATCCTTTTACCTGTAAAGGGTTAAGAAGCTCGGGTAACCTGGCTGACACCTGACCCAAACAACCAATAAGGGGACAAGATACTTTCAAATCTTGGAGGGGGAAAGGCTTTGGTGTGCTCTTTGTTTAAGGTTGTTGTTCGCTCTTGGGACTGAGAGGGACCAGACATCAATCCAGGTTCTCCCCATCTTTCTAAACAAGTCTCTCATATTTCAAACTTGTAAGTAAAAAGCCAGGCAAGGCGTCTTAGTTTTACTTTGTTTTCTCAACTTGTAAATGTACCTTTTACTAGAGTGTTTATCTTTGTTTGCTGTACTTTGAACTTAAGACAGAGGGGGGCCCTCTGAGCTCTTTAAGTTTGATTACCCTGTAAAGTTATTTTCCATACTGATTTTACAGAGATAATTTTTTCTTTAATTAAAAGCCTTCTTTTTAAGAACCTGATTGATTTCTCCTTGTTTTAAGATCCAAGGGGGTTTGGATCTGTATTCACCAGGAGTTGGTGAAAGGAAGGAGGGGGGAAGGGTCAATTTCTCCTTGTTTTAAGATCCAAGGAGTTTGGATCTGTATTCACCAGGGAATTGGTGAGAGGTTTCTAAAAGCTTCCCAGGGAAGGGAATGGTGGCAGCGGACCAGAACTAAGCTGGTAGTTAAGCTTAGAAGTCCTCATGCAGGCCCCCACACTTGTACCCTAAAGTTCAAAGTGGGCATACAGCCTTGACACCTCGTTTTATATGGGAAAAACTGTCTTTCCACAAAATGCTGAGTCCAGTTGTCCTCTGTCTACTCTGATTATGGAAGTTACTGCAGCCTTGTGTGTGGTAGGGTAGCAGGGGGAGTCGAGGATAGGCTCCATGTTTATGGTGGTGGCAATAGTTTCTTTTGGAGGAGACGGTGGTTTTGTGTTCTCTGGATTAAAGGTTTTGTGTCACTTTTTTGTAAGAGCAGAGAATTGCCATGGTGTCCTTTCCTTTTCTTGCCCTATGCACTTTTGCTGTATTATGTAGCATGCCGTATGCCAGTCGCCTTCCTAAGTACCGCCCTCTCACCTGGGAAGAGTCTGCACTTCAGTGTGACTGTGAAGTGCTTTGGGATTCTGCTTGAGGGAAGCTGTGTACATATTATACACACACACACACACACACATATATACATATACATATGTGTGTGTGTGTGTGCGCACCCGCGCTCTTTGCTAACTCCACACTTATGGTAGTAATGACAGGTATCAACAAAAGTGGAGAACCACCTGGGGAACGAACTACTTTTTTCTTTGTGGTTTTTGTGTTTCATTTATTTCCAACAAGTTGTAGCTAAGTGAGGTGGAGCAGGAATGAGTTACTGCTCAAACTGTGCACTCTCTGTTAGGCTTCACCCAGAGTTCAGAGGCATTCAGATCAAGGGGCTTGGATCAGTCCCACCCCTAACTATAACAATTCACACTTACACCTGAGGAGATAGGTGAACAAGTAAAGAAGATTTTGTGGGACATTTTTGTGTTTTGCTCTGTTTAATATTTGCTTCTTTCATATACATTTGATTTCCTCTTAGCATGTCAAGTCTGAAACTCTGAGAACTAGCCACAAACTAAGTGAGAATGTCCTCGCCAGAACACATATAAAAGTTCTCTCTCCACTTGAGTGATTTGTATTCCTAGTGATTTGGGTAGTCTGGATACTGAATCAGGTACAATCCAGAATTTCTCTCGTGGACAGAAGCAGGGTGCACACAAGGATCTGAAGTTGCCTGAAACAATCAAACACTACAGCTTGCAGAGTAACCTGTTTCCATTAATTTCTTTGTTCTTATCTATCCTTTGCATCAGGTCCCTGTTTCACTTATGTATCGACACGCCAATGGGCCACAGAGTTTCCATTCCAATACAAATGACAGGCTACGTTGTTGGTCTCATTCACCTGTCAAAAAATTCTGTTAAGTCAGAATCACTTAACTCCCTTCAATATTATTGAGATTTCTGGCAAATCAATCTGTGTCACTTGGAGAAGGAGTAATAATTATAGTATTCAGATCAGAAGTGTGAGGCCAGGTCTACTCTCGAAACTTTTGTTGGTACAATAATGTCAATTAGGGGTATGATTTTTTTTTGCAACGTTTCTATACTGGAAAAAGTCCTAGTGTAAATACTATTATACTGGCATAAAAGTGCTTTTGATAGAATAGCTTATTTCACTGGGGGAACTGGTACTAGCTATACCATCAAAAGCACTTTTATGCTAGTATAAGTTGCATCTACAAGAGGAAGGTTTCTGGTACAGCTAAACTGGCAAACCTTTTCTAGTATTGCCTATACTTAATTCTCAAAGACCAAGAACCCTGACAAGCAATGTTGGATAAAGACACTGAGCTGCAGTGGATGCAGACATGAAACATTTTAAAAGCAGTGCTGGAAAGCAGACAAAGAGTCCCTCACAACATACTACTAAGCTTTAATTTACACCATCACCTGGTTCCTAAGTATGTAAGTTTTATGAACTTAGAATGGCTAACCCATCAGTAAGTGGGTGTAGATAAGTCTACACCACAGCTTGCGTATTTCCTCTGACTTTGATCCATATTGCTTTCACCAAGTCAAAAAAGAATAATGGATACCAGATCCTAAGAGCCCATTCTCCTCACAGGCCTCACAATACAGATTTGCTACAGGGCTGCTAAAGTATTCTCTGAAATGTACAATAATGAATGGATGGGCATGGAATCCTCTTGTTTTCACAGTATATAACTAAGATAAGGAGATTTCCAAAAGACAGCACGGGGCTTTAGACAGTCATCTCCTATTTTAATAGGGACTCAGTGTCAAAATCCCTTGAGCAGCTTTGAAAAGCATGCCACCTTCCCCTTCTCTCTCCCCCAGTTCCACTACATAGAGTAAATGGGTAGTTCCCCCGCACAATCACTCCATGGCCATCCACCCACACAGAGTTGGTTCCACTGTTCTGGGACATTCTACAGCTCCTGCTCTGCTAAGTGAATTTCACGCTTCATGAAGAAAGCAGTATTTTTAATCATAATTATCTGAGTCTCCTATAATAATCAGGGAGCATTAATGGCTACAGGAGGGTTAGCACAAAATTTAATTTATGTTAATTTGTTGGAACAGTGAGTTTTATTTGCGGAGCACATTTGCCCTTGGTACAGCAACATGTTCATTTATAAATATCAACATTACCAAAAATGAAAATTATTGATTGAAAAAACTGTTAAACATCAAAGTGCCATTAATATTTGTTGTCATAAAGGTAATTAAAAACAAAAATTATGCTGTCCTATAAAGAAAAGCAACTACATATTTATTGCATTCACTTTGCCAGTACAAATATTGCACTAACCCTGGGAAAGCGTGCATCCAAATGCATAAATGATGTACCTGAAAATCAGTAGAGTTGAACGAAACAGTCATTAGTATTAAAATCATGTTCAAACACTTGGCAGGGAACTTAGCCAACATTTGCACGCTCATATAACTGAAATGATCAATCAAACTACAAACTGAAGGAGCAAATGTGAGGTAAACTGGGTTTTATGCATCTGAGTCCCTGACTGCATATTAAAGTTTTCACCCACAATTCGTCTTTAAGCAGTGTTACTTGTCACAGAATTACCGTGGGCAATTTATCAGCCATTAGAGCACGGTTTCTAAATGAAACACCTTCCCCTCCTCCATTCGGTAGTTTCTTGGGGCATCCAAATAGTTAAAGATTCAGGGGAAAAGTTCGGGAGGAAAAACCTCTTTGTTAATTGATCTGCCTAGCTGGTGATGAGAGACAAATGGAGTCTGTCAGAAAGAGTAATAGCAAACACCGATGAGCTGGAGAGGATTTGCATGAGCCTCAAAATAACACTGGGCTGGGCCAAATCTTGACTTTTAAGAAAAGTTTCCAGCCATTTTGTTTGACGATTTAGTCTGAAAAATGTAATCAATGTGAACAGCTCTCTAGGGTTGGAAGAGGCAGGCAGAAGGGTTCCACTTCTGCTGTAGGAGACTGGTGGGGGTGAACCAAATATCAAATATGCAGACACACAGGATGAAGTCTTGGCCTTATTGAAGTCAATGGGAGGATAGCCATTGACTTCAATGGGTCAGATTTCATCCCACACACTTATTTATACAAAAAGTCAGTTAAATGTGGGTGTATCCCAAAATCACCCCTCCCAGAGTTCTTAGGCTGACTCTCTGCATAGCAGTGTGAAAATGGTGGACAGGGATACATTATTTTAGGTGGAGGGAGTGGCAAAATATACTGTGGCCATATTGGCTTGTTAAAATTTTTAGCCTTCTCTGAGGCTGGAACTAACCCAACTGCTGCTGGCTCAGGGGTAGGTACAGTCTTTAGGTACAGCCCTAGGGTATACGGTGCACTATGCTTTCGGAGACACTTCTCTGCTCTCTTTAGTTCACTCCTGCTTTCCCCTTGTTCCAGAGGGTAGGTGTTTGCTGCTGACCTAGGTCCAAGGTAGTCTTGCTCATGCAGAGGTCCGAGGGAAGCTCTTGCTCCTCCTTCCTCCCCTGTACAGGCACACCATCCAGATAAAAATCTAGACCACTACAGGTGCATCAACTATTGCCCCGGCACCTTCTGGAAGGGAACTGCCCTTCTGCCTGCCCCACCAATGTTGCTAGGAGTGCATAGAGGATGCACCACATAGTCCCTCCCTACCCACTGCTCCTGGAACACACAAGAAAGAAGGAAGCAGGGCCAAACTGCTGCTGCAGCACTATCACTAACCCTGCAGCTACTGACACCACCATTGCTGCTGTGAGTGCTGGGGAGGGGAAAGCCCAGTGATCCAGGAGATACTGGGGCAGGTGCCGGGGTGGAAGCAACGGTGGATTTATTTGTAGAGAAGAGTATGGGACTGGTGGATTTTTGGAGGAAGGCAGGAGGAGTATAGGATTGATGCAGTTTGTGGAAAGGTGGAAGGGGTATTTTACCCAAAGAACAAGTTGTCAGCAGAGTCAGGATATTATTGAAGGAACCACTTTGATAAAGTCTTGGCAGCACAGCACCGGAGCTGAATGAGGTTGCCCCTCTCTCCTCTATTTTCCCCCTTCTAAACAGCAACAGAATTAAAGCCAGCTTGCTTCTTCTGGACTTGATTCAAAGCCCACTGAAGCCAATAGAAAGGCTCCGATTGACTTTAGTGGGCGTTGGATCAGAGACCACGCACAACATTTCACTCAGATTTAGATTTCTGAATTCTGTCCAAGGTTCTATAGATTTTCAAAAACAGCTGCCTAAATATATGGATTGATTTTCAATTGTGCTGAGCAACCCAATATATCTCACAGATGACAATGGAACATGGGCATGCTTAGCACCTTTGAAAAATCAAACCATTTCTATTTAGGTGCTTAAATATGCATGTAAGTACCTAACTTTGGGCATCTAAGTTTGAAAGTTTGGGTTTGTGTATGTGTGTATTAGTTTTTTACTTGAAAAACTGGATGTTTACTTATATATAACATGAAACCCAGGAATTTTACTCATTCTAGGGCAAATACACTCACACACAATGGTGCATGAGAATTTATCTCTAAGATTCCCACTGTGATAAATGGAGACTGATAACCATACATCTGGTACTACAGACAGCAGGATCACACATAGTACGCATGTACCCTTTATTCTACTGAAAGCTTTCTGGAACTGTCCATATTTAAAGTATTTCTGCTTGCAATTCAGTGCATTAAGATTGCAAACGTCTTTCTTTCTATTGTACAATTCAAGTTTAACAGACCTCTACACTGTAATTTCAGAAATCCAAGCATAACTTACCTTTGGAGGAGGGTACAAATGACAAAACGGTTGTCCTGCATTCTGTTTACACAGCTTAATGGAACGGCATACCACATCAGCATTCATTTTATACTTTAACCTAAAGGGAAATGGTGCACAACAAAGACCATTAAGCTCTCCTGGGTATTAGGAAATATAAACTACTGCAATGGAAGGATGAGTATGCAGAATACTAAGACCCTTAACTTATTTTATAATGGTCTTTAAGCTCAGCTCAGTGTAGCTGCCTGAACATAATTATTTTCTGCCATTGCATTTTACTCAGCATTTAAAACCAGATTCCAGGGCGAAGAAGCCCTGAGCTTTACATACTGCCCCATAATCAAATATATTATAACTGTACTCATTTTCAAGCAACCATACACGTGACAAAGATTTAAAGGATAAAGTTAATCCAGATGCAATTTGGCTAGTACAAATTTTCAGTCCCTGACTCAACAAAATAACTAGAAATCCTTCAAACCTCTAGTCAGATACAAGTGCCAAGAGTGTTTCCTTCTTTTGGGACAAACCTCTGGGTTTATAGAGAATTAAATCAAGATGTTTGATTACTGAACTACTTAGCTCTGTAGCATGGTTTCCAGGCTAGATTTAAAAAAAAAAAAAAAAGCCCTAAGGAAGTAGAAAGTAAAGCAAACATTCATTTAATTAATTTGAGAACTTGCAAAGAGGAATAAATGATCTACATTTATTTTTAAAGGAATTTAAATTGCTTTGTGGGGCTCCCAAGTGCTCAAATCAAGGTCAAGGGCTGGAAGCAAGTAGAGGATGACAGTTAGAAAGCCCATTAAGGTAAAAAAAGGAAGCTAGGGAACAAGAGATTAAAATAGTATGACCCTTATATGATCTCCCCCACACACCATTGGTTCAAGAAATTTCTTCCACAGCCAAATGGACTGAATTTCAAAAGGTAACGAAGACAGGTGGACCTGGTTTGAGATTTACAGATGTAAAGGTCTATAAAAATGCTTAGTAGTAGCAGCTAGCAATAGTATTTATTAATTCATTCAGGTACAGCTGTATGGGACCGGAGCATAGGTGGTCTGGCCTAGAGGGCACAGCCAGGCTGAGGTCTGCTCACCAGGAACAGTAGTTGCTAGCCAGGAGCTGGAGGAAGCACAAGCAAGCAGGTTCCATAAGCAAATGTCAGGGTCAGAGTCAGACTGGACTAGGAGACAGGAGATCTTGAGATCAAGGAAAATCTGGTGTTGCAGCAGGCCAAAGTCTGTATGGTTGCCCAGACAACTTTCCTGGGGTTAATTAGACTGCTTGGCCAATCAGAGGTTCCTCGGGGTATCGTCACTCTGAGTCTTTTGGGTGGGACTTCCTGCGGCGCCTATTCTCCATTGTGCTACCTGGCTGTGCCTCTGCCTGGCCTCCAGGGGTGCTGTGGGACTATCAGCCATCCCAGTCTCTGCAGACCTGGTTTTAGTCCCTGGGTCCTTACAACAGCTAACTTCAGTCTATTGCCAAAACTACCTAATCAAGTGTCTCTCTGGAACACCATATATATATAAAAGAGTTATACTCACTCTCATACTAATGGGACTTGAAGAGTGAACCCCCACACTTCACACTGACAATACATCAGTACATTAAAAACCAAAAACAATCCTTCAAAACAAGCAAACTTTAGATGAAAAATTAGTACTTACAGTTTAATTAGTTCTGGTCCATAAAGCTCAGCTACCAAATAACAGATGCCTTGCAAGTTCAGTATTTCTGGAAAACATAGATTTTTGAAACAATGGGGAACATAATTAAAGATAGTTTTACAAACTCATGAAACACAGCAGGATTTGCTTTATCAATGTAAATATCAGGTTATTTTAGAGAAAGGCATGTGCTCAGTCAGTGGTTTGAGCACATGACTGTGAACCAGAAAATTCTTCTAACCAAAGCTCTGACTCTTTGTGTGTCAGTAGGTGAGTCATACAGAACTATTGTGAGAATTAATGTTTGTTAAGTGCATTGATGATGAATAGCATAATGTAAGTGCTAAGAATTATCAAAATATTTATTATAGAGCATCTTCTAAGCAGTTTAAGGACAAAGCACTTGTTATCTTATATTGTAGCTCAAAAAGAAAGCAAAACAGATAAATCAATGTGCAGAAAACGATGTATGAGTTCATATTACTGCTAGAATTACTTAGTGTCTTCAAGTGTTTATGCAGGTAAAAAACTCATCTCTAGTATAGAAATAATTTTGCAATGAATAACAGAAGGAATAATTATACTTTGGCAAATAGCTATCGTGTTCCTTTTTCCTTTCATCTTTCACATTACTATGGCCTTTCTAAATACTGACTAAAACCTCATTCTTTTAAGTTGAATGAATAAGGATACACATAGAAATACAGTTTATAAAAAAAAACTTTAGCAACATATTTACTGAAAAAGACAAGTACTTGGACTATCTTCTTAGCCTTGAGGGAAAAGCGGTGCACTGCTGTGAGAGAAACCTGAGTTTGAATCCAGTTACAATCTAATACTAGGGTCTGATCTTGTAGTTCTGTGGAGGAATGGGAGTATTCCCTGCATATAATTGGACTCAGACCTGATTCAGCAAAGCACTTGAACATATTGTCAAATGCATCTCTGTTCAGTACAGCACTTAAGCATGTGCCTAACTTTAACCACATGCTTAAGAGCTGTGCTGAACAGGGCTGTACTACTCAATTGGGGCTGTTATGCCAACCAGTCTCCTGTATCTTGTAATCAACAACTGGATATCAGTTTTTGCTTATTAATAAGCAGTGAAGCACGACTCATAGCCAGACATTAAAATATAGGTGCATTTACACAGGTATCTATATGGTGAATGTGGCAAAATACAGAAGCAAGAATAAAGCCCACAACTCCTAGGACTCCAGAAAGTAGCTATGTCCAAGTCTCCAGTCACCTCCCCCTTAAACACTGTTCCCCAAACTCCTATGTATCTCTGTCCCGTCCGTCTTAATGTGCCCAAATAAACACTTAGGATCCACCAATCAAAGTAGTTATCCTTCCTCACCCAATCAGATGAATCAGAACCAACATCCAGCTGGAGTGGTCTATTCTGAGGTTCTTCCCCAGACAAAAAGGATTTCCTTCCAAAACACCGCTAGGTTTTAAGACAGCAGCGGATCTGACTCTCCTCTCACTCCCACCAGAGTAAATCAGGAATAATTCCACTGATGTGAACGGAGTGACACCAGTGTAAAACCTGCATAAGTGAAAGGAGAACCAGGCCCCAAAGGTTTAACAATCTAGCTGTGAGTGCATAAATTAAATACCCAACTACCTCTTAATGATAAGGTGTTGCTGATAGCTGCAGGAGTTACTATAGCTTACCCTTCTTATCCCAGGTTAAATATTTTATTTCAATCAAGTTACTAGCCTCATTTATTTGCCTCCTTTGCCACATAATTCCTTTCGATTGGCTTTTTATAATCAAACTGCTGGTTAAAAATGGGTCTCCTGACCAGAATTAGATTTTGCTATTACCCTCCTGAAAGGGCACATGCAGTGGATGGCAACAGTCCCATGTCTGCTCTCATCACTGATTAAAATACCCTTGGTAAAGCTAGCCAGCAAGCCAGCTGGCTCTTTGAAGTGTCCTGTAAGAGAAAATAGCTGTCTTCCCCAACATCTCCCATGGTGGACAAAAGCTGACAGCATCCTCTAATGTTTCCCATTGAGGAGACAAGCCAGCAGGTTTGTACAATGTCTCTTGCCCAAGAAGAGATAACTGGTTGGCTCAACCTCGCTAGCCGCTAGGAGGAGGGGTTGGTTTGGCTTGCCATCAACTCTAGAAAGTAGACATTGGGGAGCTGGCTAGCTAGAGCCATTTCTATGCACAAAATTCCTTATGAGCATAAGAATCTCAGCATATAAATATCCAGTGGCATAACAAAACAAATAATGGCTGGCTCCAGGGGGAATAGCAATAACATAAAACTGCCCTAGGGTAAATATAGTCTTCTTGGATTGTACATATTACATTCAGCATTTGGCTTCAGGCAATATACCACAACCTCTGACTAATATTTTATATTTATGTCCGCAGAGTCAGTCAGTATTTGTACTTACACACATCTCCTGCTGTGCTGTATGCACACAGATACAAAGAGAAGAATACACAGAAGTCTTTTTTATCGAAACAAGCCTTGCTAGGGGAAAGAGGTTCAAGTAAAAAATGCTTATTTTAAGAGGGTGAAGAATATTGACCTTAAAGGAAGTTAGATTAGGCCAACAGAAACCACAAGTTCCCTTTAGTTCCTCTAAAAACCTAATTGTTGTACACTGGTTTTGTTTTTGTTATTCACATGAGGCTCTTCAGGCATATATATAATAATAGAATTGCTCCTTCAGCGTAAATGGTACCTTTTTCCTCAACAGCTCTGCTCCCTGTGTGCATTCAAAATAATATCTATTGACTTGAGTGAGAAAAGGAAGTTGTTACTACTTTTTACTCTTGTTAGCTCTGCAGAGCCTATACATCTAGAAGAGAGAGGGCTGGATTGCATTCTGGCTCATGCATCATCCACAGAATTGTTAACTAATTTCTAGTTCCAGGTCAAACTTTTCCCTCAAGGAATAGCAATAGCTTCCATGTGTCTCACTGAAGATAATGAGGTTGCACAGATGTAACTTGAAGGGATGATGGGGTTATATACATACAGAGGAGGGCAGAATTTTGCCTGTAGAATTTTTACCCTTGCAATGATGTATAGACCAGAAAGAATGCAACTTGACCTTCAGAGTGGAGGGCAAGTTTACAGGTCTGGCAGTTAAAAATAAATTTCATCACTTGTACACTGAACAAATTTGAAATAGATTCACTGTGTGAAAATAAACACTGAACCATAGTGTGTCATTTTTACAGAGCCTTTTTTTTTAAGAAGAAAACCATAGTTTAACAGCAGTATTAGGGTTTATAATTGAAGCTCTATCGTTATCTGCCTATGATGTAAAAAATGAAAATATGTCTCATGGAACAGGAACTGACTGACCATCATTTGACTCAGTGAATGACCTCTAGCAAACCCTTCTCCACACCTCAGAAAGGATAGAATTATTATTCTACATGCATCCTCCATGAAACTAGGGACTAAAGAGCAAGACATTAGTTTTTCAGAGATGGAATTAATAAGATACCGTATAAAAAACTCTTTAATGAAAAATCCTAAACTGTCTTTTTAAATTCATGAAGTTAGAGACAGCATCAACTTTAGATTCATCGATTCCAAGGCCAGAGGGGACCATTGTGATCATCTGATCTGCCCTTCGGTATAATACAGGCCAGAGAACTTCCCCAAAATAATTCTTAGAACAGATCTTTTAGAAACACATCCAATCTTGATTTTAAAATGGTCAGTGATGGAGAATCTGCCATGACCCTTGAGGGGTAGCTCTCCTGCCTGCCTTTTGTGAACAGCACCTCTCCCCCTTCTCTCCTCGGCAGCACAGCACCTGCCTGACCTTGTTCAGGCCTTCGCTGCCCATGCAAGGCAGCAGATTTGCAGGGCTAGATACGCCATCAGCATGCTGCGGATTGTGTTACTGTTGCACCAGTGCAGCTCCTGGGTTACGTTTTGGATGGGGGAGTGAGGTACTGTTCCCTACCAGCACCATGGCATACATCTAGTCAATTTTAAAAAGTTACTTTAAAGTAATTGAATGTCTTACACCTGGCCCTTCAGTCCCTCTGCCAGTTTTTGTGACTTTACAACAACAGTTTCCTATTTCTGAAAATGTTTTCATCTTCCCAGTTGCTATGTAAAGACTCGCACAAATGTAAGGGGAAACTGACTGAATATACAGTGAAACTGGCTATTCTTAAAGTGCTGACAAATATACAAAGTAAACAAACTGGGGGTATTATATGCAAGTATCTTTGGGGTGAAATTCTGGCTCCACTAAAGTCAGTGGGAGTTGTCACTGACTTTAATGAGCCACAGTTTCACCCTTGATATCTTTCACATACACTATTCGTAGATGGTGTTACAATAGTGAGTAAAACATTTTCAGATTCAAGTGAATTTTTAATTAACAGTGAAATACAGTGGTACCAGCATAACATATGGTGTATTTGATATTTACCAGGTAGATAGTTGCAGAGTCTCTCTATTGCTTCTTTTGCTGTACAGTTGTGAAACATTGCAAGCTGTTCAATTACTGATACCACAAGCACACATCCTGCAAACAAGCAAAACAAAGAGCTCACTATCTCATACATATGACAGGATTAAACAGAGTGTCTATAAAGAAAAGTGGACATGAACCAGTGGGTGTTTTGTTTTTTGAGATGTTACATGGCTGATAATATTTCTGGGGGGGAAAACCCACTATATTTCTAACTTTTATTAAAACAGTGCTACTTATCAAGCCAGAGGTTGGATGCAATTGGTAGATGAATGCACAAAACATCCTACATTTTATATAGCCATATTTAGATCTGGTCAAGACTCCCATCAAATCTGACATTTCAAAATTTGTTTTAATTCTGAATTAGAAGAAAACCATACATTTCCTGGAACAAAAACTTTCTGAAAACAAAAGTCATTCCAATAAAATCAAGATGTTTTGATCCAAACTTTGATTTTTGTATGTTATATCATAACAGCATATAAAATAAATTTATAAAAAAAATGTTGAAATAAAATATCAAAATGTTTCATTCTGATAATGTAGAAATGCTTTTTTATCAATTTTTTTTTAAATTTTGCCAAAATCTACATGTTCCAGCAGAAAGTTAAGATTTCTACAAAATGGTATTTTCCAATAGAAGAATATTTTGTTAGAAATTTTTAACTAGCTGTAGCCACACTGGTGAGAAACACCGTACAAACAAACAATTTTCTAGGTTTGATTCTTGTCCCTAGTGTGAACCCACCTGCACCTAAGAAACAAACTGAGGAAGGAAAAAAAATATTCTAGAGATCCAATACTATTCCAACAGACAGTATTGTAATCAGCATCTTGGCACTTTGCACATAGCTGGCAATCACATGCCCATGGTTGATTCACAGTCACGTAACTGTTACATCTTCACAGCATGCACCAGGACAGAAATAGGCAAAAGCTGAAGGACAAAAAACTCCTGCATGACTGTAGATTAGAAATCACCAACCGCAAATATAACACATCAAACAAAACACTCCAGTGACAACATGGCATAGTCCTGCACAGGATCTCCATGGGAGTCAATGGAGGTTCCGCACACAGAGGACTTGCAAGAGCAGGCCCCGAGACAGCAAAATAAACATTTGCTAAGGCCGAAATATTTTCTAAATTCACCACGCTCCCTTTATGTGGTTATACATGGGTCACTTTCTGAGCTCTGGTAAGCACAGGGATCGCTCGTTGCTGCTCCAGCCCTGAGCAAGTGGGAACACAGCCTTGCCTCCACTGAACCAGACAGCAGAGCAAGGCTGGTGCACTAGGGGAAATGGCAGAGAATGAGGGAAGAGGTTCTATTTAATCCCAACAGAGCACATTTCATTCTCCTTGTGTGCAAGGGGCAGCACTGGAGAGCTGTGCCTTTGAGAGGTCGAGGTGTCTCTGGTGCTCCTCGTGAGGTGGCTCCACATTGGCCCCTGCACAGAGCTGTTGCTCAAAAGTCAAACATAGCTCCATATAAAACTGGGGTACCTGTCATCGGATCTCCCTTCAGTGAGGCTATGGGGTGAGAGATCTGCAATTTTATAAAGGAGCCATGTTAGATGATGCAAAGTCTTAATAGGCAGCAGGTTTAAAACAAATAAAAGGAAGTATTTCTTCACACAACACACAGTCAACCTGTGGAACTCTTTGCCAGAGGATGTTGAGAAGACCAAGACTATAACAGGGTTCAAAAAAGAACTAGATAAGTTCATGGAGGAAAGGTCCATCAATGGCTATTAGCCAAGATAAGCAGGGATGGTATCCCTAGCCTTGGTTTGCCAGAAGCTGTGAATGGGTGACAGGGGATGGATCACTTGATGATTCCCCGTTCTGTTCATTCCCTCTGAAGCACCTGGAATTGGCCACTGTTGGAACCCAGGATACTGGGCTAGATAGACCTTTGGTCTGACCCAGTTTGGCTATTCTTATAATTCTTATAATCTTATAATCAGCAGACCCTTCCTTGACTGCGAAGTTCAAGCCAGGCTTAGGCTATGACTCCACTGAAGCTGGGGCTGTGATCTGCAGCTCATGTAGCTGTACCCTTGCTAGCTTTAATCTAATTAGCTCACTAGAAATAGCAGTGAGGACATGCTGGCACTGGCTGGACAAGCAAGTATGTACCCAGCAAGGGAGGTGGGTTTGTACAGCCTTTGCTGATGCCATCATGTCCTCACTGCTATTTTTCCACCAGCTAGCTCGTTAGATTAAAGCTCGCATGGGTATGTCTACATGAGCTGCAAATTACATCCCCGGTTGCAGTGTAGACAGACTTGGAGAGTGTGCCTGTGTAGTGACAATCAGTAGCACAGGCTGTGTTTATTCTAGGAGCTGGAGAGAACTCTAAGATCTATTTGTTTCCAGCAGCCCAAATAAAGAATTCCCCTTGTATTCAATACAGCCAAGTCCTGTCTCTTTCTCCTACCAGGGACTACTGAGGGGATTCAGATCTCAGGTTTTGGTTTGACACAAAATAGAGATGCAAAATTCAAATACTGATACAGATCCAAGCTTTCCAAAAGCTCAGAGCTATTAACATTCAGGGTTTTGGTCAGGGCTATATCTAGTAAGGGGCAGTTAAATTCTCTATTGATGACTCTGCCACAATGTGCTAATAAACCAAAGATGTTATTTTCCCACATAAAGCTGCGATATTCTTCATGGACCAGGTTATGAGTTGGAAAGTGGTGGAGAAAATATACCACCATTGGAAATTATTAAGCCCAATCTCTTTATTGAGAGTTTTTATTACAAGGTAATATAATTCTATATAGAAAAAAGCAAACCTTATATTTTATAGGAAGTAATTCAAGGACACGAATGGGAATAGCAGGGCGCTCACCATCTCATGGTAGACATAAAAAAACCCCTGCTTCACTATACTTAACCTCATTAAACAAAACCCTCAACAGGACTTCTTAACAGATGTAATTTAGAAGGCATGCTAATTATGAGAATGGATACTTACATAAAACAGAGAATAAATTGAAACAGACACCAAGGAAGAAAGACAGCAGCACATTTCAAGAAACTAGCACTTAACCAAAAAAAATCAATTCATAATGAAGAAAATATCCCAAATAATAAAGACCTTAGCAACAAAATCAGAGACCCAACATCAATCAGAGCAGACATACCGTACATCCCTATACCCACCATGGAAACCCTGCTAGGAACATATCCAGGAGGAACTTCTATTCTATATATCTAGGGCCCCCACCACTGTAATGTCTGAGCACCTTAGAAATATTAGCAAATTTACCTTCCCAACCCCTATCACTGCCTCTATTTTACAGAGATTAAATGGCTTGCTCAAGCTTACATAGGAAATACGTGCCAATGCTAAGAAGTAAACTTGTCTCTTGAATACCAGTCCAGTGCTTTAACCACAAGACTATCCTTCCTTTCACAGCCCTTGGTCTAAAGAGTTTACAGTCTCGAAGACAGGAGTAAAAAGATGAGACGCACTAGCCAAACGAGAGGCAGGAGTTGGCTTTGACATTTCTAAATAGTAGTAGTTATTATTTTTCATTTTTGTTGTGTGTGGGCCTCACTGAAGAAGTGACTCTTCAGGGAAGATTTGAATGAATACGGGACACTGGCTGGGAGAAGTGGGTTCGGAACGTCATGCATTGCATTCATGGCAGCCTGGAAAAAGTGCAAAGATGGGAGCAGGAGAAGAAAACTCTAGGGGCATCGAGGTCAACACTGTTGGCAGAGCAAAAGGCATGAGGGGAGAATGTGACAGGAGACAAAAATCTGTAGACTCAGGCAGAACTGAGCATAGCCTGTTATCCAGGGCAAAATGTTCAAACTGATGCCCTGGCAAGGAGAACCTGATGGAGTGGTTTCAGAGCTTTGGAGCTGTGCTCTGGCTCCATTCCAGCTCCAGGCAAAAACCTGCAGCTCCACTGCTCCGGAGCTGCTCCGCGCTCCAGCTCCGGGCTCTGCTCCAAAGCCCTGGTTCAAACAAGGGAGCGAGAGGATCTATTGGCAAATTCCAAGCATGGTCACATTCACAGAGAAAAGCCATATTCTCCCCCCACTACCAATAATGTAAAAGTAAAATTTGCAGAGATTTTCATTTAGATTTTGAACATCTACTTCCTCAAGCTGAGCAACCTGTCACTTTGAGCAGCTGAAGGTGACAAAGACTGCAGGGCAGAAAAAATAATGTTCCATTTGTCTTTGTTATATAACAGAGAACTCAGCATTTTCTCTGCTCTTTCGCCACCTAAGCCCCTGATAGCATTCCCTCTGGATCTCCTGTTCATGATATATTCATCCATTTCTCAATTAACAAAGCAATCAAGCGCACATCTGCTTTTCTTTCAAAGCACTGTACTGTGGCCATTTATAGCGGGGATGACGTTTCAGCCATAGCCATGGTTACGATCCTGTCAGTCCTTGTGGAAGTCTTCCTACCTCAAGCATCTTCTTGCACTCTATCAGGCGGGAAGGAACTATTTGCTGTTGTGGTTAGGGATCCATATAGCTGCCATTTAATGTAACCAGTCAGTGTGATACCATACTCTCATTGATGATGCGATTATATGTTGTAATCACAGCATGTTTGCGGTCAAGCAGAAAAGGGAGGATGTACATCCTGTGTCATGTCACTTCTTTTCTGGTCTTCGTAGTTGTATTATAGTATCCAAAAACTGAACTAAGTATTATATTCACTTCATATTTCAGATGCAGCAGCATGTCAATAAGATGGATGCAAGAATGTTAATTACATTGTTAGATGGATGCCTGTTCAGACTGCATTCCGATGTATTACAGACAGATTTTATTTCAGTGTAAAACTAAGACTGATAAGAAACAAATCAACATAACAATTCATCCTTTCCTTCCCAATGCCCTAGAAGAGAATGACACATGGTGAAATTATAAATACACCTCTACCCTGATATAACGTGACCCGATATAACACGAATTCTGATATAACGTGGTAAAGCAGTGCTCCGGGGGGGGCGGGGCTGCACACTCCGGCAGATCAAAGCAAGTTCGATATAACACGGTTTCACCTA